TATATATATATATATAAACATTTAACTTAATGAAATATTTAGAGAAGTGTTCAAATATGCAGATTAAAAATTTTTTTAATCTATTTATTCTATCAAACAAGAATGGAATATAACAATTTGATGTGTCTCAAGGGTCTCCTAGATCAGCAGAAATGATAAACTCTAAACAGGGATCAGGATAAGAGATAATGGTTTGGGTGCTATGAATCTGAAGTTGATAGGTCAAACTAAAAAAGCAGGTAAATCCACCTACAGAGCCTGTGAAAATTTCAAATATTAATTATTAGATGAAAATGAATGCAGCAAATTGTTCGTGGCAAACTTTTCATTAAAGTAGATTCAAAATTATCTCTATTTGAAAAAATAAACATAACTAAATGCAAACTGCTTACTATTTCTCATAGGACCATGATTTCCTTTCGTTCAGTATTCTACCATAATCAGACACCTTCTGTATGATATCCTTGACAAGCCTTTGTTGCTTATAGTACTGCATTAGTCTGTTCTCACGCTGCTGTGAAGACATGCCCCAGACTGGGTAATTTATACATGAAAAACGTTTAATTGACTCACAGTTCTGCATGGCTTGGGAAGCTCCAGCAAACTTATAATCATGGCAGAAGGGAAAGTGATCATGTCCTTCTTCACATGGCAGCAAGGAGACAAATTTTGAGTGCCCAGTGCAGGAGCAAGCCCCTTATAAAACCATCAGATCTCATGAGAGCTAACTCACTATCATGAGAACAGGATGGGGGAAACTGCCCCCATGATTCAATTATCTCCACCTGGTTGGGCCCACAATATGTGGAGATTATGGGAGCTAAAATTCAAGATCAGACTTGGGTGGGGACACAGCCAAACCATATCGGTTACCATCATTCCTACTCTGCCGCACCATCATTATGATATTTATTTATCTATGATATTTATTTATTTATTTATTTATTTATTTATTTTTGAGACAGAGTCTATTTCTGTCACCCAGGCTGGAGTGCAGTGGCACGATCTTGGCTCACTGCAACCTCTATCTCCCATGTTCAAGTGATTCTCCTGCCTCAGCCCTCCTGAGTAGCTGGGACTACAGGCGTATGCCACCACACCTGATTAATTTTTTTTTTTTTGGTGTTTTTGTATATTAATAGAGACAGGGTTTCACCATGTTGTCCAGGATGGTCTTGATCTCCTGACTTCGTGATCCGCCCGCCTATGATATTTATTTTTTAGCAACACTAAAATTTCATTAACATAATGTCTCCTATGTGACAGGCATTGGACTGTTTACATCACCACACTGAAGAAAATGCTATTATCCAAATTTCTTAGATAAGGTAACTATTCCTTTAAAGAGAAAAATACTTCAGGTTGTTTAATAGTAAAACTAAAATTTTAACCTATGTCTATGTTGACTGCTTAAAACATCTCCCTGTAAATCCTTATTGACAACCAAAATTAAGTTTGGTAGGCCTTTGTATTAAGAGAGAATACTACCTTGACAGAGTGCATTAGTTTGTTAGATATTCTGTAACAAAGCACCACAAACTGAGCCACTTAACAACAAGGAGGTTGCTTTATTTGTTCATTGTCTCACTTTTCCAAGTTTTGTCAGAGTGGGTTCCTTCTAAGGGCTGTCAGAGAGAATCTATCCCACGTCTCTTGCCTAGATTCTGGTGTTTTGCTCTCAGTCTTTGGTGTTTCTTGGCTTGCAGACACAAGACCTGGATTTCTGACTTTAGGTTCCCATGGGTGTTCTCCCTGTGTGCATGTCTCTCACCCCTTTTTGAAAGGACACCAGTCATATTAGTTTAGAGACCCATGCTACTCCAGTGTGATCTTATTGTAACTTAACTAGTTATATCTGCAATGACATATTTCTGAATAAGGTCACATTCTGAAGTACTGGGGGTTAGAATTTTAAACATATTTTTGAAGTCCTAAGCCCCAGTACTTAATTATGATATGTATTTTTGACAATAATCTAACAAATTTTTTGAAGGAGACAATTCAACTTGTGACACTGAGTCTCATCACGTCCTCAAAATGGGGAAATTAAGAAAGGACATTTATGAGATTTTTAAGTCCAATTTTTATGCATTTTTTCAGTGAGTCATACAAAGTGAAATACTGGTTGGAACTAGGCAGAGTTTCTAACAAATTAGTTTTAGATTGGTGGGCAAAATGAGGAAAGAAACACAAAACATGTTGTGACAAAAAAGTCTTAATACGTACGCCACTTGGTTGATTCATAGTCACCTTGTCACAGAATGATTTCATATATAGGGAAATGGAATGACATTGGTTTCCAACTTTATCTGTATAACTTCAAGGCCTGTAAACTACATCATTTTATCTTTCTCTTTCATTATTGATATATCCCTAAGTACTCTGTAATGCTGTTGGATTGCTATAATAAATGGCTCTAAAAAATTCAGTATAAACTTGTTGGCTGACTGCAATCATTGTTGGCATACATTGGGTTAAATGTGTCTTATTTGTGTAACTCTTCAGAAAATTGTCTAGCTATTTATCTACATACCCATTTATCTATCATCTATTTATTCTATCTATCATCTATCATCTGTCTCTGTCATCTATCTATCCATTTGTACACATATATTGTATCCCAAGCTCTACATAAATAACTTGTTTTCTTTAGGTTTTCAAAAAAAAAAGAGAGCTATATTTATATTGTAAGCCATAATCATTTCATATCATGATGATATGAAATTGGTAACTCCAACAATATCATTTTGGATAGTAACATTATTTGCATCCCATATCTTCTTTCATTCTGAAACTTGGCTTCATTTGAAAGTACAATATGAATTAAAGTGTCTCTGATACATTTGAACCATGTGAACACTAAAGTTGTTACAATGTATCAACTTTATTGGCAACATAGGAAGCCATGTGGCAGTTCTACCAAAAATATATATTACTATTGTTTAGAAGTTAGTTTGACAGTATCTAAAATATCATGCTCTCTCTGTCTTGGCATTTCTCAGTAATCATGTTTATCAAAACATTCCATTCCTCCAGCTTGTAAAACATACAGTATATAAAGTAGAGAAGGGATTTCAGAAACGGGTTTTTATGGTCAAGATGTCTACAGATAAGTCTGCATTTGAAAAAAAAATACATGTCAATTTTTTTGTAAGAAAACTTTTTTTGGTAAATACATGTAATGTTAAGAGTTATAGAATTCTACTCATTTTAATTTATAAATATTACGTGAAGTGTAATTAGATCAGGAGAATGAAATCCAGCAATCAACAGAAACCTTAAGGCAATTTAGAATCCTTTTTAATCTTTAAAGAAAATCCAATAAACAGTTGAGAAAAAAATTGTTTAAGAGTTTTAAATGTTTTTTTCTGGATTTGCCACAGGGTCCAAGTTTTCTCTCTGAGGCCTTTTTTTCTACACAATCAACAACAGTTGAAGAAATGGATCCGTTTTTCAACCTTCATGAAACCATTACTAAGGTAGGGGAGAAGTGCATTCATAAATAGGTGGGGAATATTTGTTCTTTTTTATTGGTAGATGGAGCAAAGGAACATAACCAATCAAGAAAAATCCATATATTTTTATTTCTAGAATATATGAGAAAGGGTTTTAGAATATTCTATTATTTTACTAAGGAATAAATAAACAATTTGTTCAAGGTCATGCAGACACATAACTGATCATTTGTATTGCAAATCAATTTTTAATAAAACAATGAGTTATTTTTCTTAATCTGAAAATAGAGTTGTATAACAGCCTCAAATATACCTCTTCACTTTAGATTATAGAAAATACAAAATGGACCTTTGAACTTTTCTGTTTTCAGTAGTTTGTTTAAATAGTTACAATACTTGTTCCTGGTGCTTTTTAGTTGCAGGAAAAAAGCCTGCCTTTTAAAATGAGAAAGACTGCATTTATAATAAGAGAGGCTTTTACAGTATGAGAATCATACATATATTTTTAACATACAGATGTCCCCCAACTTGTAATGGTTCAACTTTCTATTTTTTGACTTTGTGGTTGTTCAAAAGCACTATGCATTTAGTAGGAATCCTAGATCAAGCACCCATACAACCATTTTGTTCTTCACTTTCAGAGCAGTATTCAACACATTATGTGAGATGTTCAAGACTTTTTTTATCAGATAGGCTTTGTGTTAGATTTTGTCCAATTGTAGGCTAATATAAGTGTCTGAACACACTTAAAATAGGCTGGGCTGAGATATGATGTACAGTATGTTAGCTGTATTAAATTCATTTTCAAAATGTATATTCAACTTATCATGGACCTAACCCCATCATATGTTGTGAAATGTCTGTATTTTTATAGTGGTAAGTTAATTGTATGTAGAAAATTAAGTTTTACAGTATGGAACAAATAAATTTAACGTTCCTAGCATCACATGGCATTGTATGGATTTTTACATTTACTAAATATATATTTAACCTATTTTCACCTGCCTTTTGGGGACAGACTTTGTAAAGAATATTGGCATTTTAGTACCATTAAAATTATCCATATATATGTATATACACACACATATATATGTATAAACACATGTATATATGTGTGCATATATATATACACACACATAAACATGTAGAGAATAACTCTAAATGCCCTAACCAAATCACTATGAGATCTATTCATTTAACAACATTGCACTCCTACCTCATAAATTTATACAAATAATAATATAAACGTTTTTCTATAAAATAGGCTTTGTGTTATATATTGTCCAATTGTAGGCTAATATAAGTATGTGAGCACATTTATGACAGACTGGGCTAAGATATGATAGTAGGTTACCTATATTAGATCATTTTTAAATATTAGTGAAATTTTACCAAGCTGTTTTTTTCTTTTATAAAGAGGAAATATAGTAAAGCGAACTGAGTGAATGTCAATAGAATGAGCTCGGAATAGAAAGATGGGAGCCTGTGTCTGTCTTTGACACTGAAGAGATGTGTGAATTCATTTTTTTCCAAACCTTTAAAATAAGAGGAGATTGAATTACATTTTACTTAAAATTATTCTAAGCTCAAAGTATCTAAATCTTAGCTATACGTTTATTATGTTTGGTGAAATCATCCAACACGAAGCCTATCCCAGTTCCTTTATTTAGTTTTTACTATCTCCCTCCCTTGATCATCCTCTTTTTTTTTTTTTTTGAATGTAACAGAATAGAAGTGGCCCCCTAACACTTCCTTAGTATTCAAAATCATAGCTGTATTTTTAATACTTGGAGATTTTACACACACACACACGTAAACATGCATTAATGAATATATAGTTTAGTGAATTCATATGCATTCATAAACATATGGTATATTTATAATACTTAGAGATTTTATATATATATATATATATATATAAAACACAGACACACACATAAACTTTCATGAATGGACATATATTTTTATGAATTCGTATACATTCCTGTACCTATATATGAATATATATATTTAAATGAATTCATATAGAATGAATTCATATATATATTTGTTCACATATTCTAGATTTTCAGAGTCTATGTTTATTTATTCATTTTTAAGCAAAGCATTACAGAATTTTAGGGCAATGAAATAGTTATTTTTTCTCCATTTTGTTCTGCTTTTATGGCAATCAGTAAAATCATGGATTTTTGTGGAAGGGATAATTTGAGCCAATGTTTACATGAGACATAAAATGAAATGATGGTGTCTAGCATGTGAAATCCTTAGCCAGAGAAAACGCTAGGCTTTTCAACTCAGAGGTTAAAACATATACTGATAACCGATGTCTGAGATCTTGGCCACTCTTAAGGATTTCAACTCCTGAGAACATGTTAGGAAGCAGGAATTGGTCAGGAAGGGAGTACAGGGGCACAGAACACATCTCAAACATATACAATTCTTGTGTTTTAATTAGTGTGAAACAGACAGAAAATTAGAGACCGCTAGAGAAAACATAACAAATTTGTTCACAGATATTGGTACGTATTTCACATGTGTTTTCAAATATGTTTGATGTTGAACAGATAGTTATTAACTTATTAAGTGGATGTTGGAAAGAATTATATGTCCAAGAGAAGATAAAACCTGCTTAAGTTCAGAAGCAAGAGTTCTGTGAGCTTTTTGTTTTCTTTTTTTTTTTTTGAGACGGAGTTTCGCTCTTGTTACCCAGGCTGGAGTGCAATGGCGCGATCTCGGCTCACCGCAACCTCCGCCTCCTGGGTTCAGGCAATTCTCCTGCCTCAGCCTCCTGAGTAGCTGGGATTACAGGCACGTGCCACCATGCCCGGCTAATTTTTTGTATTTTTAGTAGAGACGGGGTTTCACCATGTTGACCAGGATGGTCTCCATCCCTTGACCTCATGATCCACCCGCCTCGGACTCCCAAAGTGTTTTTTTTTTTGGTTTTTTTTTTTTTTTTTTTTTTTTTTTATGGTGAGGTATAACTTACCCAATGCTGATTCTGTTTCCTTAGTCATCATGTCTACTTGCACTCATGTTGGAAGCATTGGCCCCGGGATGAAATTGTGCTTCACAAGTTCAGTCTTACTTCTCCAAGAGCGGAATGGAGAAACCATAAAAGGAAGTAATTCATAGATACTTCATTTTAATGTCAAATTTTATCAAAATCAAAATGAAATAAATAGTGGGGATGAATAGAGTACATGAGCAGAAAATATGAATCATGGATTTTAGTTTTTTCTTCGCTGCAGAATTGTTATACTATCTAGCAGAACTTTGTTATATTTTCTGCATCAAAGAAAGTACAGTCATAATGCCCTTCCTCAGTAGAATTCTGTGAGGTTGAAATAGATGATATATATATTTTCTCTAGAAATGAAGTATGTATTTAATTAAATATTACTATTAACTCATTAAAAAAAAGCTAGTATTAAAATTTTTCATGTAGGCCCTTACCTGCATTTTCTGAATTTTGTTGCTACTATAAAATATATATCTATGGATAATATAAACACATAACCAAACTAATTTTCAATGGTAAGAGTACATTTAGTGTGTACATATAGGATATAAATTTTAATTTGTGAGGAGTTGAGGCCCTTAGAATACTTTTTTCACTAATGATAAGTGGTATTATCATCAATGTATCACAGCATATCACAGATATAATATGCTTCTATTCTGCATAATAGTGTGACGTATAAATAGCACTCAGTTTTGAAATTAAAAACCCATCTAGGTATATATTCCAAATTATCAATTATGACAAAATCAAGTTTCACTAAAATGTGAAAAACACTTGGTAAAATTATGAAGCACAATTATTTGTAGTATTATGCCAATATTAAAGCATTTTTAAGAAACTAGAAGTTATTGAAATTCTGAAGAAACTTTTTATTTCTCCCAATAAAAGTTTGTATTTGATATGGCACCATAGCACAATCACATATTTTATATTACCTAATTAAATACAATAAATATGTATATCTAATACAAATATAAACATGTAATACAACTATTATTCTCTTTCAATGAGTAAGTCTTTTCCTTCTAGACTCTGCTATAGATTACAAGTTGATTTCATGCCAAATTAATTTCTCCATATTAGGAAGATAATAATTTATAAATAGGGTTTTGCTCAATTTAAACAATATTTTATTTTATTTTATTTTATTATTCGTATACATTTATGGGGTAGGAGTGCAATGTTGTTACATGAACAGATCTCATAATGGTTTGGTTAGGGCACTTAGAGTACTTATCTCCCAAATGACGTACGTTAAACAATCAATAAATAAACCATACTCATACATGGAATGTGAACTGTGAGTCCTTGAAAGTAGTTTTCCACTGTTTTCCTGTAGTTTCTTTTTTTTTTCAAAGTTTGAATTTGTCTTGGCATTTGTCTTTTTGATATAAAGCATGAAACCTAAGAAAGTAATGGATGAGACTCAATATTGATGCCAATAGGTATAATTCATCATGGCTTCAATGACAGTCAGGTGGCACAGTATAAAATTGCTGAAGGGCAAGACACACTGCATCAGTGTTGAAGATTTTCTTATCTCCTATAATTACATTAAAAATAGCATGTTTATTTTTAAATTATCATAGAAGCCAAACTAATTCCTTTATTGACTAAACCAAAACATGAATTAAGTGCCAATGGAAATTTTAGGTGCTTAATCATTTAATAAATAAAAATTGTCATGCATTGTTTTTAATAGGCTTATTTCTCCTTCCTCACCTAAGAATTTTCTAGTTATATTTCTAAAATATCACTATTTAGCTCCTAAATTGTTATTAGCTATCTTTGCATTCTAATAGTCTACTATAAGTCAAACATGCAGCAAGACACTTGGAAATATCAAAATGGTTAATACACAGGAGAGATCTAACAGAATAAACAAGGTAAATAAATAATTTTAATAAATTATACCAAAAGAGATGATAGTAATGTAGACAAAATATGAGAGGAAAGAAGATGGAGCTTTTGCCTCTGATATGGTTTCGCTCTGTGTCCC